AGAGCAATTAACCTTTATTGGAATTACTACTGCGTAGTACACTAATTGTTAAAGTTCCAAAGACCTATTACCATTTCCAAGTATAATTGGGGCACTTGCAATAGTTGTATCTCCAGAATTGCGAAAACACTACAGTGGAAATCTAAATAGCACATACAGATCTGTATTCTCATACTAACCCCCTCTATTCAAATCAATTCCAGAATTGTACTCTAAGCTTTTTAGGAAGTCTTGATGTCGATGAGCATAACATTTCACCTACTAGAGCAGGCTCTGGCTGAGTAGATTATTTCAAGGGAAACTAATGCGAAAAAGTGCATATAGTAATTCATTCGTCGAGTCCATTTCTAATTTCAATTCTATACGATTGAGTTCCGCTGGAAATTGACTCACAATTGGAATACCCTAGTTTTGTAATTCTAATTTACGATAGATTTGGGTGTAATTCCATATGTCACAGAAAGAATTATTTCAGTTTTTCGTCAAAATTGTTGTTGTCTACCCCCTAACTATCGAATTTGTTGATTGACTACATTTGTATCAATTTAAATTCCTGCTGGAATTATTTTGCAGTTTTGGAAGACTGCTGTACACATTTTTTCTCAGTGGTTTACCATATTGCGCATACACCCTCTTTAGGTCAGAGTTATACTTGCTAGAATACTGTTTTCTCTCTCACACTTTTTCGGTGCGTTCTTTTTTCTCCGACGTATTATAGAGATAAGTCGATGCGTAAGTATATTTACTTCAAGCGTATCGGGACGGATAAGACAATTTAGTCCTGTGCAGAAAAAAATAGTCATTCCGAGCGATAATAAGTAGTCACTTGGCGTCCTTTGTGAAAAAAGTTTTCAACTAAAAATGGACGGCTTGGATCTCAATTGAACCTCTTCATTCTCGCCTACCACATTTTTCTTAACTTTAATAAATTGCAACGTTCTCCACGAAGTCCAAAGAACTCAAAACGTAAATACATTTCCGACTTCGACAGCTGCGCCGCCTCACCTCACTACCTTACAAACTTTTAAAGGTTTCCTTGAATTTTTTACCATGAGGAAAATGCACCAGAATTACTTTTGTAAAGTATTTAAATATTTATGGCATCATATGACTCAACACCACGGCATACCTTCGACTTCGGCGGCTGCGCCGCTTCACCTCGCTGCCTTACACACCCTTGAAGGTTCCTTTGTCTTTCTATACAATAATAAAAGATTCAAGGAATTCTTTTGGTGAAATATTTACATATTGATACCATCATTTGACTCAACGCGAGAACACAGCTTCGGCGGGTGTACCACGCCGCCTTGTCTTACTGCAGTACAAACTTGTCAAGATTCCTTGCTCACAATGGTAAAAAGTGCACGGGCCGATTTACCTCGCTATCTTAAATACTGCTGAAGATTTCTTTGGCTTTCGATACAATGATAAACAAGTAAAAAGGTTTTCACCCTAAGGCGAGTGACTTCAGCGCTATGGCTTCTATGATTAAACTTTAGAGAGAAATCTTCATAAGGAAAAAAGTTTGCCTTTGTTTATGGCATTTGTAGTTTTTGACTTTTACTACAATTGATATGTTTCTATTTACTAGAAGCATCTATGGTTAAAATTTCAAAGAAACATGTTCATAAATACGGAAGTTGGCACTGACTGCGCATGCGCACATCTAATGTTTGCAATGTTAGATATGTTTGATTTTAACAGAAGCATCTGTGATTAAATTTTCAAAAAGATATCTCGATAAATAAGACAGTTGATGCATCTTTGGTTAAAATTTCAAAGAAATATCTCCATAAATAAGAAAGTTGGCAATGCGCAGTCTGCGCATGCGCACATCAGATTTTTACTATATGCAATATGCTTGGATTTACTATAGGTAGGTAATTTCAACAAAATATATTAATAAATAAGAAAGTTGACATTGCACAGCCTGATCTACTACTTCTATTGATATAGGTAGTAGAAAGAATTGAAGGCTAAGAAGGCAAATCTTTATTCGGGGCATTAGGTCACTCGAACAAAAAAACAATTTGCCGATAGTGTTAACAAACCTGGAGAGTAGAGAATGCAAATTGTTACTTTCACTTCACACATTAACAGGATGTGATTCACTAGCGCCTTTTTTTAGAATTGGCAAACGAATGGCATTTGTCATCGCAAAAAAAGATTGGAATAACATAAGAAACGAATTGCACTTTACACCCATCTAGGAATAAAGCTTCTAAAATTTAATCATGAGCAAATGATTTGCTTCACACAACTATTCCTAGCAATCACGTACTTCAAGGTAGGGACAGAGGATATTTTTTTAAATTCTGATTTTAGTGGTTTCATTAACTGTTATATCAAATGAAAATATAAACAAAATGCTTGAAATGGATTATGGCGACCAGTCTATACTGAGAAACCTCCAATCCCAGATAAATAGGTAAGTGACCGATAACTCATGAATAATGCTGTAAATAGATACTATTCACTTATAACTGACATTGGATAATTCTCGAACAACAACATAAACTACAAAAAAAAATTAATCACTAATAAGCGCTAATCTTTTCTCTAGACCGAGTTAGGTCAACGAAAATATGAAGGATATACCGCAGAAATATGTTATCACTTATCATTAAGTTCTACTTAAGATCTTTTAGACACATTTCAGCGATTTTAGTGCAACTAATAGTGGATAATTTATTTTTAATGCTGCCAAACAAGTAAAAATAGATCATAATTGATGACAAAAGTGCTCTTTAAAGCGATAGAGACAGCGACAATGGATCTATAACTAAATAAATGAGGACAGGGTTGCTCTTTTGAGTGAAGTTAAATAATCACATAGCTCTGATTTAGTCCAAAATGAACACATAACATTTATTTAAATTTATAAAACTTATGCAGCTAAAGGAGGAGTGCCTGACTCTTTTTAGGTTCCTACCGGTTCCTACAAACCAGCTTGAACGTTTAATACTTACGATATCAAAAGCTCCTAACTATATTTTATAGAACCTTGAATTGATTGGCAGTAGTGGAAGATAGCTCTCAAATCGAATCATTAAGGAGAGCATATTTTGTTCACGAAAAAATCAACAAGGTATGGACACAACGAATACCAATCATTTATACGACTTTGATCAAAAAAGCAATTAATAACTAACAGATATTCTAAAGTTAGAAGAAAATCTGCAGTATTCAATTGTAGTTTTGCAAAGAGCAATGTACACTGATATTTTTTGGTGGTCCTTCTTGGTCATTCATTCTGCTCTTTGTTATTAACATGACCACCCGTATGTATATGGTTCAAAATGACCAACATAATTTTTGTTGCAAACTGCGGTTCTATAGGATAAATGCTGTGAAGCTCATTACAGTGTTCATATGAGGATCAAGACAGGAGGATATTGTTCCTTATTCATCATACCAAATACCACTCCCCGCAAATTGAAGGTACCGCCTTCATGTTCCTTTTAAACAGACCCTTTCTCCACAAAACTATAAAGTAGCATTAAACCACTTACCATCTAATCTAAATCTCTTATCTATCTTGACAAAATCAATAATAACATCAAGCGTAAAAATATTACTAATTTAACTTACCCACAGATTAGTGACTTATTCTCAAACAAGGCCTAATGACTAATCCAGTGTTCGGCTACTTTCGCCGTAAATCGTTCAATAGATGACCACATGAATCTTGGAAGCAGCAGTAAAGGAGGTGAGGTATTGGGAATTTAAAACTGAAGAAATCAACGTGCAAAATGTGATGAATAAGGTTAGAAAACGACGACAAAGAGAATACAACCACGTAGATATTAGACCATTCTGAAAAAATAGCAATCGCTAAAAATGGACTGCAAATTCAGACCAAGAAAACAGGACAATTTTACACGTGAGTTTTGTGCTCCGGAACAGGTTACCGATACAATTGTGACTATTCGTGAAAGTCATCTTACTGGGGGAGAAGAGGTTATCAGAGTGCAAAGGACCATGCTGCGACCGGTGTGGCAATGAATAGGATACATCATATTTAATATATAAAATCGGGGAGCGGGATTTTTGGGTGAGGCCAGCCGCCCAAACCGAGTTTCTGTCCCATCCGGGAGCTGGATATTGAGGCGAAGTGAGACAGTGCAGCCTTAGAAACCGAGCGTATCTCCTAATCTAGAAAACGAGATTTCCCAAAGGAGGTACAAAGTTCGCGGGGTTGCTAGTCATTATGTCATATGATCATACCTATCGTTGCAAACGGACGATAAAAGCGAGATTAATTACTAAAAACTACACTTCAAATCGAGCTGATACTGCTGATAGATATAATTTTATGGGACGATTGGCAAGAAAAATTAGTATATTATACAAAATAGCCATGCAAAGTGATTAACAATCAATTACAAAGGGGTTTGTTATCATTTTATTCAAATAGCTTGGATACTATGCAAAGTAATTTTTTTTCACTTTAGGTAATTGATTCTGGTAATATGTATAATAACCGCTCATTATGCATATTTATTGCTTTAAATAGGCCATCTACTGTTCAAACGTTTAGGGATTGTATTCCACGTATGGCGATCTAAATGTTTGAAAATTCTCTCCAAGATGCTACAATGATTACAAGCGCTTTAATTGTCAAAAATGTAGAAATACTATCTCAAAATTTTGGTACCTACCATCCAGAGATGTGTTTGGATTTCTGTGTCTCCGGTTCTTATTAATGCTATTGTGACCACTTTGCGCATTATTATGATTGTCAAGGGCACCAGTGACTTTTCTGCTGCAAATTAGCCACGAGTTACCTAAGTGGGTATTTGCGCATTACAGACTAGTATCTAATCTAAGATAGACATCCATTCATCTCGTTAATGCCCAGACTTTGGAAAAATATTATTTGATCGCTTGTTGGTATAAAAAGGTTCTCTACCAGAAAACATGCACTTAAAATAGAAACGCAGTTTTCTACTATTTCAAACCTCCCGGTCTAACTTTCTTTAAATTAATCCTACCTTTAGTTTCAGATACGGCTATTACGAACAACAGTTTTTAATAAGTAAAGAATATCAGAAGGTAAGATGATCTGCATACCTCCTATATTCAAGGCCTACCTTCCACAAGTAACTACAAAACGTACCCGTGTACAAACATTACTTTGATCCTTTTTAGATCTACGCGGCTTCAGTAGCATCCTCGGTTTACGCGTGCGTCGGTTTAGGAATTTCTTATTCTGCAGTGGTCATCCCACAAGTTAAAAATGGTACCGCTGCAATCGAGGCTACGGACACAGAACTGATGTGGATAGGTAAAATGCTTATGTAGAAAGTGATTGATAACTATTGAGACAACTAGTTAACAGCATCAATGTCGTGATTCCCGCACTAGCAATATTCAGTGGTTTCGCAACCGATTTTTTTGGTAGATTGTGGGTTTTAAAATTTACAGTTCTACCACACGTTGTTGGATATGCTACCATAGCTTTGGCAAAATCTGTCACCGTTATCATCATTGGAAGGACAATTTGTGGAGTAGCTCTAGGTTTTAATAATTTAAGTGCTTAAATGTTCAATGAAACCTAGCCACATTTTAGTTTTTCAAATTGGATCAACTTTTGTCTATATATCCGAAATTAGTTCCCCCAGTGTAAGGGGTCCCTTATTGGGATTTCCGATTGTAAGCTTTTCAATCGGTGAGTATCATAATATCCCTCCATAATTTTTAATCTGTCGCAAATTAGGAACAGTGTCAACGTACCTTGGCGGATATTTAATGTCGTGGTCTGTGATGTCGTGGGTATTCTGCGCTTATGGCATTATATGTACCATCTTATTGTATACTTTACCGTTGAGCCCTTCTTGGTTAATCTCGAAAAATCGTATAGACGAAGCTGAGAGGTCAGTGAGGTGGCTAAATAAATTTCAAGCGAGCGACCAGGAATCGGTAACAGGCGGAAATTGTAGACGTAATTGCAACAGACGATGTTTTAGATTGACAATATTGTGAAGCTGGAGATGTTAAAACTGGAGGAAGAAGAAGAAAATAACAAGAAAAACGTGATTGATAAGAACAAATGGAAATGTATTTCTTTGCCAACTGTGTATAAACCTGCCTTGATTTTAGCGTTTACGTTGCTCCTGCAACAGTTTTCCGGAGTGAATACTTTTTTCATGAATATGGTCAGCTTCTTTAACGTAAGAATAATTTGTAAACTTGCGCACTCGAAAAAGTTTCTTTAAAGGAAATTGGAACGGACATGGATCCTTATTTAGGCTCAACGTACATATCAACTGGTCGTTTGATAACAACGCTGATTAGCGTGTTAATTATGAAGAAATGTGGAAGACGTACTTTGCTCGCAGTTAGCTTCATTGGAATGGCCATTTCAATGGGAGTTTCTGGGTTATATACCAAATGGATTCATGACGGTAAATCAAACCCATTTTACAAGAAGTATACTTACAATACTTTTAGGCACCACCGAAAACTCTTACATTCCTTTAATAATGCTGACTCTGTATTGCATTTTCACCGTAGGTGCTATGGCTGTACCATATGCATTGTCGGGCGAAACCTTTCCCTTGCACGTTCGCGGTTTAGCAGCGAATATTTGCCAAGGTCTCGTATATCTGTTTACATTTGCTTGCGCTTCCAGTTACCCACACCTACAAGACGCTCTTGGTGGCATACATCATCTTCAGTATTTCTTCGCCGCAGTTGCGATACTTGGGGCTGTGTTTACTTATTTTTTTATTCCAGAAACGTTAAATAAGAGATTATCGGAAATTGAGTCGCATTTTGTGACACGCACTTTTGCTATAACAAAACCTAGTATATGTCAGGGCCAGCCCGCCTCAAATCAGTAAAATAGTATTCTACAATGAATGTACCAAAAATAAAAAGTAAAATATACTATGTCGACGTGGAATTCGTAATGAACTTGTTAGCTACTGCGTAAAACTGATTTTTGATTAATAGATTCAATTGTTGAACGAATGTAAGCAATTTTTTCAGAAGAATTTACCGAAATATGCCTAGGAAAGAAACGTTATTTCGAAAGTGATGTATGAAATTTGAAGAAAAATACAAAACAACAGATTGGAAACTTTCCAGCTCCCATATAAATTTACACTATGATACATCTGTTGATTCTACTGCACATTCTTTTTCTGAAAAGTTTTATTCTCTATATAGGTGCAGGTGTCAAATTTGAAAATCTCTTCCGCTCAAATTGTTCCGCACAATAAAATTACTCAGCCTCATTGCGATCTAATTAAGTGACGTAAGCGCCGTTCTTAATTTCATTACCAAAAACCAAATTATCTTGTGTAATACAATCGCTGAAAAGTAAGATAAGCCTGATTAAAATAACATAAGCGAAGCATTTGGCAAAATTTGGTTGAAAGTTGAATATATAATTGGTTAAATGAACAGTGGCAATTAAAATACAAGAGAGCGTGTGATGGTGTTTGATAAAGCTATGCTAAAGCGCCATTTCAAACATGTCTTACCACAGCTGAATCGGAATTTAGGTAGTTGTTCACGTAAGAATAAGTTACAGCTGGTCTATATTTGTACTGTATACGATCAAATTCCTTTAGTAAGACAGAGGGCCGAACTCTGAAGATTTGAGGTGGTGCACTCACCACCGTGAGCCTTTTGTGTCCAACGTATGGTACAATACGGTCATACGTATGTACTACATGAACCTAAAGAATAAAAATAATTAATAACGCTATATTTTTACAATTTGATGTTCTCTTGAATCAAAGTGAATTTTAGACATTTAGCATATGAAAAAGGAGCGGAGGATGTGTGTTTATTTACTTAGTTTCGCGGGTTTCGCCTACTCAAGGTAGCACTTAAATTACCGCATCTTATAAACGATGTCTGTTAAAACTCTTTGTAGTGTCATCAACATTACAAATGCATTAATCCGTAAATATAGATGTTGCAGGAGACGGATGGTTAGACTTGTCTGCGTGCGTCACGAATTGATGTGAGGCGAATTTGTAACAAATATTTCAAAACCAATCTTCCTTTTAATACAACAGGAAATAAATCAACCATTTTTTTCAATCCTGATGTATGAGCTTAAATGTAAAAAAGTAGAAAGAGTGTTACTAACAGCTATTCATTTCTCCATGGAAGATGTATTTGTACTGCTTCAAACCTCGCAACGCGCTTAAAGGTTTATGGTGGCGATAAAAACAACCACTTTTAATCAATCCTTAGTCCTTACTACTTCATGGAGGATCAAAACTTATGTATACCTCTGACTGTAGTACAGATGGTGAGGGAATTATCATTTCAAGTGAAGATGAGCCCTAATTTAGTAGAAACAGGGGAAATGGAAAAGTTGGGATACCTCAGGTACACCATGTAATTTCATATCTTTGTTCACATACCGTGTTTGCATAGATTAAGTAGATAGGTAGATTAAAAATATAAGCGCGTTAGAGCATTTTTATGGTATGATACTACTTGATTATCCAATTGGAAACGATCCATCCTCTTATGTGGCGTCTTAAATTCTAAGGTAAGGAAATTATCTTATCTTATCTTATGACTTAATTATCCGCGCAGAGGTGTCCCTTAGCTCAATCATATGAGGATTTTCTCAAGAAAAAATTCCCGAAGTTTTTTTCTCAAAGGTTTTATATGTATTTTGAACCGCTGAATCCGAATTTCCACTTTGCTAACACGCCAGAGGTGAGCTAACTGCGGCAGCCGCAAATAACCGCAAATTATTTGCGGCATTTTTACATTTTCGCCTATAACTCAAAAACGGTACGTTTCAAAAGAAAAACTATGCTATACAAAATTGTAGTCCACAAAATTTTATACTTTTAACATGTAACAACGAAATGTGTAGGACCAACCACACCGGCGCCAGCGGCCGCGCCAAAACGGCTACTTTTCGTGCAACTTTTGGAAAATGTAAAAATAGTACTCCGACATATCTATTTAATATAATTTTTCATTTCTTATCAAGTGGTGATATTGGTTTTTCATTTACATGGACTTTTTTGACTTTGAAAAGTCACATGTGCTAACCGCAAAAGCCGCAAATACGGCAAAAGCACTAAAGTGAAAAAAAAAAACAACAAACAAGCGAGTAGTTGAATTTCACTAAAATTCAACGTACAATCAGAATATTCGATTGAAAATAATCTCATTGGCACCGTTTGTATAGTATAGTTTTTCTTTTAAAACGTACCGTTATAGGCGAAAATGTAAAAATGCCGCAAATAATTTGCGGTTATATTTGCGGCTGCCGCAGTTAGCTCACCTCTGGCGTGTTAGCCAAGTGAAAATTCGGATTCAGCGGTTCAAAATACATATAAAACCGTTGCGAAAAAAACTTCGGGAATTTTTTCCTGGAAACGTCAGTTCTGGAACCCCCGTTATTGTACTACCTGTAACATTTTCCAAACTAAATTTGCAAACCTTTATACTTCGGTTAACTTTTAGTTTAATCCAGTGGGTACGATTGATAAATCTGAAATTTAAGCAGTTGCTGCTTTACAAAAACTAAAGTTTTGCTTAGAAGAATGTAATATTTCAGATATTTGTTCCAATGTTTTGGATGTATATTTCGATTTTTAAATTTAGTGGACAGTAATAGTTAAAGCTTGTTGAAATGACGAAGTCAATTTCTGTAAAAAAAAAGAGTTCAGATTACGAAATCTTATTATCTCATAGTTCATCTAAAACTGCATCAGATTGCTTTATTGACACTATCAGAACGAAATGTTGCACAGATCCCGATCCCGAGTTCCTTTACTCGACATGATTTTAGTTGACATTATTGGGTTTCACACAATTGGAAGTTCCTCAGAAGAAATTACAATCGCGTTTTATAAAATAGATAGATAAATAGAGTCATTTTAAACTAATTAGAGACAATGTTCAACAGAAAAAGAAGTCAGAAGCGCCCTGCCATAAGGGCCAATACATAATTACTTTGCCAGGAAGTTCTATAAGCAGACCCAATAATTGACCATGAACTACGATAAATACCTCAACGGTAGCTCCGGTAAGTCCGAACGAGCCAGAATCCCAAGGGCCAACGATTTTGATGTCCACTCAGACAGCGAGGCATTGAAAAGGACAATCGCTCGCCTTCTACAGATGGAATCCAGGTACATAGTTTTCCTGCGAGAGTATGAAGAGATGAGACATATAGTGCCTCGAAATGCAGCGGAGATACGTGCAAAATACTACATTCCCCACCATGCGGTGTTAAAAGAGGAAAGCCCCACCACAACATTACTAGTGGTGTTTGAGTTTCAGTCACTTCCAGTTCAGGAATAAGCTGAAACGAGATTAGTGTAGAAATGAGCCAATAAAAACCTCCAGGTTAACGGCAAAATTTAAGGCGGTCCCGATGAAGTTGAAGAACACCCTACCGGGGTTGGAGCTCGATGAGGTAGTACTGGCGGCGAAGCTATTAACGGCAACCAAACTAACCCTGAACCTCAAAGTCCCTGCCTGGATACAATGGGACTACTAAGAGTAGGAGACAGCGTAACGATTTATTTTCTCCATTGCAAAGCAATATCATTGGTTACGGTTTATTACTTGTTGAAAGATCCCCGTAACTTTTGAAGCGATTTTGTTGGATGGCTCAACCTATTGTTGGAATTTAACAACGCAATTGTACCGCGCAGTGGTTGACTATGGTCACCTTTCTTTCTTTCATACGTCGTATCGAGATACAGATACAGAAAGCGTGAGGTAGACCGCATGGAATTATAATTGCCATCTTCCGTATATATTGATCTCTGGCGATTGGATTCCTAATTTGGGGATTTACCTATGCTCCTAGTGAGGATATAAACTTGCGTTCTTCCTTTCTTATCGTAAGTACCGCTATTTCCATTTCGTTTATTTAGATTGTACCTTCTTTGGATTTCAGCTGTAATTTGTTGTACTGCAGTTTTCATAGAAAATTGTTGCTGCATCTACAATTAGCCCTCTTACTTAAGAGGTATGTTAACAAAGAAGAGGGGTTACCTTTGATTTCTTTTAGGGTTCAAATTTTAGTGTCAGTTTAACTCCAACTTTAAGAACCAGTTTTAAGTTCCAGTTTACGTTTAATTTCAAGCCCTGGATACGTCATACATTCGATTGTGTTTGACGTACAAGTTTCGTAACCTTGCATTAAGCTCACCATCGTCTGCGGGTGTCGACGTCCTTGACATCTCGGTTAAGTTATGATCGAGTTTGAAACGCGAATGCTGTTGGAGACCATAATTTCCTTCTTAAGGGGTTGCCCAGTTAAGTACCGTACGTGGTATAGAAGCATATTACCAGTACAGCGCGGCTTTCCCGGTATTTATCAACTATTAATATACCGAGACCTGCGGCTTGGGGTGTTTTCTTTTCATTGCTTTCAGGTGGATGCGAGAACTGAGCTCACTTCTTGGCGTCAACATCTAATCATATGCCCAGAAAGGACTATCGCTGTGACAGATCTCAAGCTTATACGAGCATTTTATTTTCCAACCCTGAGCTGGTTGTTCGTTTATGCGGCGGGTTTGACATTACGCAGGCGCAGCGCTAACTCTACCAACAGTCATAGCAGATTAACAAATGCCTCCATGTCCATGTCGACACAAGAAAAACACCCCTTAATAATTCCTCCAACCAGACACTTGTCCGCACTAATCGTGAAAGATGCCCAGGCTAGAACCCTTCATGGCGGAAATTAAATCACATCGACATTGGTGCAACGAAAATACTGGATACTGTGAGCAATAAATCTGGTCCGCCAGGAAATCAGAAGTTGCATACGCTGTCTGCGATTCAACCACAGTACGGCGGAACTGTTAATCGGAAATCTCCCACCCGTACGGGTAAATATGGCACACCCTTTCGCAAACGCGGCACTAGTCTACGCAGAACTTTCTGGAAAATTTCGCTTCAAGAAGTCACCACCAAATGAAAACGGGAATCTCACACGTTACACGTCAATTACGTTAGCAATCCTGTCATCATCGCTTCCTGTGACTACAATTTTAACTATCTAACGTGTGGTCGGTTTAGAATCAAAAAAGTATTCTTTTTAGAAATTGTATTTTGTTCGGTATGAGAAAATTTATACATGTACCGCGATAAATAACGTTTTGTATACAACGGCATTAGGCAGGAAATGTAAAGACAATTAATCGGTGCATTTTCAGAGATATTGCACTCCTACAGAGTACAATCGTTTTTCACTTAGAGGGCTTTAGTAAAAGAGACTTTAAAATTTTCACTTGGAAATTCATTACTAACCTCCCATCATATCCCTTCTTGCATTTTACTCCTACTCTAAAGTAAATGTTTATAACAAACTTTGAGCATAAATTATAGAGCTTGGATGGATCACACAATCGTGAAAGTGTAAAGTAACTACCGCCCGCGTTTTTGAATGGATAATCCCACAAATTACAATAACGATCCACATGTCTTAACTCAGTGTTGACTAAACTTTATTCGGCTAAATTTATGCAATCTGTCATTACCGAAAACTAAGGCAATGTTGATAAATGCAAATTTTGTCGTCCACCTCCCGAATCCTGGATTAAGTCCATAGATTACGTGGTAACATTTTTAGAACGTTAACGTCTATTTACCTTACCCGGTATCGTTTAAAATTTTATATTTAGGGTAAAATCTGACATTGTTATTAAAACTTTTCTTCAACTTTTCCGAAAAAAGC